TGTGATAGAAAAAGTGCAGCATGTAGGAGCGCTGTATGAATGTGGGATGTTCTGTAAAGTCAGAAAAATGCTGTATGCATTTAGCATTTAGGGAACAAATTCAGCCATTTAGTGAATATATAACAAAGCCTTTAACTGTCCACCTGTATAGAGAGGAACAGGTGGCTGAGATACAGGTGCACCGCCATGTGTCCACTCAGAGACGAGCGTCCGCAGTTGGTTGAAGTTCAACGTGTCACCACCCCGGCATGCTTTGACTGACAGCTGTGCCATCCAGAGTTAATGTCCCATCTAACAAGTGACTGTGACAGCTGCCGTCAGACACGTCCCCTCCCCAACACTGGAAAACCCTCTACTCACTAAACCATGGGACGGGGGGGGAGCCAGGCAGACGCTCTTTGCTGTGGGGGAACAGAATTGTGTTTGTGAAGGGGGGGACAATCAATCAAAAGTGTCAGATAAGGCTTATGTCTGCTGAGCATGTAACTTATTAATTTTCCGTCACTGCATGACATAGATGTATAAAATGACAAAGAAGTGCGCTGTAAGCAAAAGTAGCGCCATCCTCTGATTGGTACATCCTCTGTCTCTGAGCGATGGAGGTAGACGAGGTAAACCAACAAGCCCCTGGAGACAGTATTCAAATATTACCACCGCCAACATTATTTCTAGAAGGACTTGCTGAAAGCTGTGCCAAAAGAGCCGCCCGTTTGAAATGTGAGCTTCCATGGTGGACTGCCGCCACGCCTCACATTGCTGCAAAAAACTTGACAGTCCTGCCAAGAGCCCTCGCATGGCAAAGGCGAACTGCATGCGTGAAGGAGTGTCGCCTAAACACGCGTGTCAGTCATCATCAAGCATTTCAACCCCGTGCTAATTCATGGAAGTCTCATGGTGCTAATGTTGTAATCAATCCTAACCCACCAGTCCGCTCTGCCACAGTCTGGTTAGAGACAGGCAACCCGCCAAGGTTTCTAAATGGCTCTGGCTCAGCGTTAACCCTTACCCTCATACCTCACTCTAATACTCTTTCATACCTGTATCTGTGTGTTCAGTGTGTCTCAGACCAAATTGAGCGAGTCCAGCAACCCCTTCGTTTTCAGTCTGTATGCTAAGTTAAGCAAATGAAGCTAGCTGCTTTTAGGGTTTGTATTTATTATTTATGTCAATTAACTCACAGGAGGAAAATGAATTTCCCAAAAAATCAAACTATTTCTTCAGCATTATAGCTGTTTGTACTTTATTACTTCTGCAACGGAGGTTATGTTTTTGTTGTTTGTCTGTCTATCAGTTAGCAGAATCACCACTAATCCACTAATTTGAATGTGAAAGGATGAAACCATTACATTTTGCTGCAGAGCCAGATTCGGTAGGGGATCCAGGGTTTTAAATTTATTTATTTATTTATTATTTATTTTTAATTTTGGGGCGGATAGGGATAAATGTGCAGATCCAAGCATACACCTTCTTTAACGTGGCAAGAGGGTGTTAGCCTTAACAGAGGTATGTGTTCTCCTTCTAGGTGTCGTGCAGTGCTCATTTTCAAAAGGTTGTATTATCCATTACATCTCTCCATGTCTTTTTATGGTTTTGATTCACACTCACCTCCTTCAGCACTTATCTCTGCTCATGAAGTAACATATACTGGAAGTGAGTCGGCCTTTTCTCTTCCCCATCAGTGGTCGGTGTCTTGCTGTGTGATGGCTCAACAATGGGGGTTGTCTTCTGAGTGCATCCACATTCAGTTCTTACTATAACAGAACAAAACTGATCTGAGGATGGGAAATAAAATAAACCTTTGGGTCTGTCTGAGCAGTGTTACTGATGTAATTCTTTATACCAGGATGTCAATATTCCACATAGAAGATATAGCCAGTATCAGCCAGTAGAGGCATTACGAGAACGAGTGACCCTTTGTTCAAACGTAAGCATCTTCTGTGTTAAATTGTTAGGAGTTTATATTGTGCAACTGAAATATATTTTATAGGTTAATTCCCTTTATTGGGCTTTACGATTATAAACCCACCAGAATTCAATTCAACTTTACATCACGTTGACTGAGACCGAGGCTCCAACTTCCTAGTGAATGTTTTACTTTCAGAGACTTTTGTGTCTGCTGAGGGTCCAGGGCCGCTGGGAAGATGTCTGCTTCCCTCCTCAGCTGGTGATCAAAAATACATGAATGTGAATATTGATTATTTGATTGATTGATTGATTGATTGGCTGTTATAATGAGATATGATGCCATAAAGCCTGAGGAGCTGCTTCTCCACAGCAAAACTGTTGTACTGTAAATGTTTGTGGTCTAATGAATGTGCAGCTGCCTATTGTCTGCATGTGTGTGTGTGTGTCAGAGAGGGGGATCCTTACAACTAAAACACTTTGATCATCATCATCTTCATCACCTTCTCTCTCTCTCTTCTCTCTCTCTCTCTCTCTCTCTCTCCTCGCTCTGTTTTGTCAGATTTATTCACGTGCAGCGCGCTCCCCCTTTGCTCAGACATTCTGTCGCCAGCGGCGTGACGTCACCTGCGCCGGGCGCCTCCTCCGCTCTGAGCGGTTTCCCTCCGCCGGTCCTCAAGATAATCTAGTCCCTCTGCACCGCGGCGACCCTGAACTTGACTAACGAACTTAAACCCTGAAAACTCTTATCATTAAATACATGAGAATATTTCTGTCAAATAATTCTGTTATTTGACAGAAATATTTCATTTATAATGTATCAAGTAATCAGAGTACGGCTGAGGTAATGAACACTACTACTACTACTACTACTACTACTACTGATAATGATAATAATAATTATTATTATGATAATAATAGTAATAATAATAACAATAATGATGACAACAACAACAACAATTAGCATCATAATAATAATCCTGCAAAAAACATAAAAATGTTTTTTGCTGTATGTTACTAAATGGTATTTTTTGATGCTTCTGGAAATTATGTGGCAACTATTTTGATTTAGAGAAAAAAAATGTTTTTCTCTTTTTCAAGCAATAATGCAAAAAAAAAAAAATGTTATGCCCCCTGAAATGTGAGGATATGATGCTTTTTGTCTTTCATGATAGTACAGTAAACATTTGGTCTGCAGGTCAGATAAATAAGACTGGTAATAATCTTAACCCATCCCAGTAGCTTGTGGTTTGTTGATTGTGGGGATGTAACAGGCATATTTTATATTTTTTGACGTTTTATATGCCAAATAATTGATTGATTGATTAACTGACTAAGAAAATAATAGGCTGATTAATAATAAAAACAATGATAATGAGTTGCAGCCATGCTTGTATGGCATTTTTTCTGGAGTATCTTTTATTCGTGAAATCAGTTTGACTTTGACTCACTGCTCTGTGATCACTTTTTCTGTGACAGGGAATCCACCTCTTCATTTCTGCTCTGATCAGATATCACAAACTGTTCTGAGCTCTTCCGATATGGACTGAACTCACTTCTAAGGAAAAGACACTTCATGTCCTCTGCTGCTGCTGCACCGCCTCACTGCTATTTTCATGCACTTTCATGCAATATTAATGACATGATCTGAAGACCTGTTGGAAGTTGCACTCTTGACATTGCAAAAATTACACATCCACCAGATGAAAGACCTGCATCAGTCCCGTACTTATACCTTGTTCTTGCACATGTTTGTTCTCCTGACATAACATAAATAATTGTGCTTATCGTGTCACAATCAAAGCAGAGGGGGAACTGAGAGGCAGCGGTTCAGGCCTTCACTTCAGATAAACCTCCATCAGTTTAATTTACTGCAAGAGCTACTGGCTTGCATGTTTGAAGAGGAAGATATGATACATTTAGTGAGAAGAGAAAGAGGAAGAATTTCTCTATTATGGCCAATTTACGGTTCATACTGTTTTCTAGTGATTTATGTTACGCCCCCGTTAAAGGGGATTTTTGTTGTATTTGAACAGGCCCTTGGTCTAAGGGAGTTCTAAATCGAAATGTCATATTCATATATGTGCAACACTGTTAATGTATGTTTTTTTTTTGTTATTATTATTTAGTTTACATTGCTCATATCTCTATTTTTTGTAGATAACTGTATTTATGTTGTATTTGTTTTGCTTATTTATAACCTTTTACTGAGTGTATTTTCACAATTTCCTCAGTAAACCTCTCCGTAGGGGCACTAATAAAGAATCTTATCTTATCATAATCTTTCTGTATTCATTTTTTTGTTGTTATTGAATTTTTTTTTGTTATTGAATTTGAAGAGGTTTTCATTGAGTGGGAGTTTAAAATCACATTAGGAAAAACTGATATCATATCTCATCTTATTGTGTCTTATCTTATCGAATCATATCCCGAAGGTGATTTCTGTTGAATTTGAAGAGGTACAAAGTGTGTGGCAGTTTAAAAACAGATGAGAAAAACTCCACTGATATCTTATTTAGTCTTTTCTTCTTATCTTATCTTTTCTTCTTATTTTATTTTGTCTTATCTTATCTTATTAGAGGTGATTTTCGCTGAATTTGAAGCGTTGCTCGATAAGTGAGAGTTACTGATAGAAAACCGTCTAATTAAACTATTATTTCACATTTTGCATGGGTGTTCTGTGGGAGCCTCTGAGGTGAATTTCTGTCTCTCCCTCCTAAACAAGCCCATTTTCACCCCCACTTCAAAGACCAAGTTTGCAGCAACAAATTAAGCCAAGAGAAAAACTCTCTGTCTAAACTAACGAGATGAAAATAAAGAGCTGGCATCAGCCCTCACTTATATAAACCACTTGCACTGGCTGGGTGAAGAAGATGCTGCATGTGTGAAAAGTAGGTCTTGTTATTGTCGGGGGAGGGCTGGCTGCAGCCCCGCGGCGTGATACTGGCGCTCGGGCGTAGGGTGAGGCGGCTCCGCGACTCACTGACGCCAGGGAGCGAGAGACAGAGAGAGACAGAGAGAGAAAGAGAGAGAGAGGGAAGGAGAGCATAGAGGAGGACGGGTTCAGAGAGAGAGAGAGTGAGAGAGAGCGAGAAGGAGGGAGGGAGAGAGCTGCAGTAAAAGAAAGAAAGAAAGAAAAGGTACGTTAAACTTCTGTCTTTTAAATCTGCTAAATGAAAAGTTTCGCCGTGTGTGATTCCGCCGGGGATAAGCGTTTGTACGAAAAGTAGATCCCCAACGGTGATGACCTCCACAACTTCAAACTTTTTTCTTTCTCTTTCATTTCCTCACGATGTCAAAGTGTGGCTGTAACGTGTCAAAACAAATCTATACAAGATGTGAACCAATGTGGAAAACAACAGAGCTGCAGATGGAGAGCAAGGCATGCTGGCTTCCTGTATATGTAGAATAAACTGAATTAACTGTGCTGAAATCACTCTAAACCTCACGTCAATACAAACTATGTTGAGTTTTTTGCAGGAAATACATTTTATTCTGTTGTTTCTAAACCCACAGTGTAAAGCTACAGGGTTATACAGTGATTTATTTGTGTTTATTGATGATTCAGTGCTGATCAATTGTGAAAATAGCCCATCACAACCTCCCATGACTCAATATCATGTCTTCATGTTGCTTGATTTGTATGTGCAAGTGTCTAAAATCAAACAATATAGAACTGATAATGATTAAGAAGCAGCAGATCCTCATGTTTCAGAAGCAAGAAACTGTATATTTGTTGCATTCTAGCTTAAAAATGACTTAAATGCTTAAAAAAGTCATAAAATCTGTCAGTGAGTTAACAATTAATCGACTAATCCTTTAATTTCTTCACTATATAAGATAGTAATAGTGGTAAACATGGTTTTAGGTTTAAGCTCCATGATATGGATTGATGGGTGGGCTTTTTGTAACATACACTTATTATTTCATACCACTAAATGACCTTAATGAATAAATAGGAGTACGTGTAGTATAATACCCCACACCCACACATGCCATGCTTTCATATCATCTAGTCGTCCTCACTTCTTCTGGCGGCTGCAGACTGGCAGTGCTTCAGACGACATGTGTCCCGTGTGTGTTTTTAGTTATGTCAATGTGTTTATGAATGTGTGTGTCTGCCTGTGTGTAAGTGTTTATGTGTGAGAGGCTAGAAAGAGGCAGGGCAAGAGAGAGAGAGAGCGAGAGAGAGAGACAAACGGCAGCTAAGGCTAGATCTCCTGATGTTATTGAAGATGACATATCAGATTACCCAAAGGACAGGAATTTGTCCTTGTCCGTGATTTACTTCCAATTGTTTTATCATCCTGCATTTCTCAAGGTACGCAGCTTTAAACTCGGTTTGAAAAATGGAACAAATTGTGTTTTTAAAGGATTGAAATCAGGGTGAAGGCTTTTAAATAAATGGAAATGCAGCTATGATGGACTTTATGAGCTTTGTTTCCTTTTTTATGCAAACAAAACATAGCATAACAATTCTATTTGTTTTGTCTATCTATCTATCCATCTAGCTCTCTCTCATCAAGCAAAAAAACTACTCGACTACAAGGTGTAAATATAGGTTAGCAGCATTCCTATGTCCTTAGAGTCAGTCACAACAGTAGTGAACAATGTCCTCCTGTGTGTCTGTGCCGTCAGGACAACATAGCCTGCCATGTGTCGGGGGTGAGGTGTCCACCCTAACACAACACTAACCCAACACTGAGTGCCAAGCATGGTTGAGATAGCTGCTTGAGACCCCATGTGTTTGCTAGTTATGTCTACAGTCATGTGTGGACGAGTGTGACTGGTGCATGAAGAATCTGATCCCAGTTCAGCCCCCTCTCCAAGGCTTTACCATACTGACCACTGTGTTTTCACCCACTTATAATATAATGTCATTTTTACAAGGCCAGCGCTGTGTAAGTTTAAGGTCAGTGTCGTGTAGTCACTCATAGTCGCAACACCTCATGTCTTACTGTGGTTATTTCAAGCTTTGCTCAGACAAAAGGCAAAGGTCAACTTTATGTCACATCAGAATTTTTTCAACAAAAAGGGTAAAATAGTGAGGAGTTCCATTTCACCACAAAGACACTTAATACCATTGGTTGGCAGAGACATACTACTGCAAGTTGGTCTTTTGGTTCAACTGTACAATCTCTCAGTATTTACATGTTTTGCTCACAATTTAAAAAAAATAAAAAAATCCATCAGAAAAATGGGGAGGATCAAAAATGGTAAAATTCTATAAGCTAACATCAAACGTCTTCATATACAAACTGTCTGAATGAAGAGCAACATGCTCATCACAGTTTCCGTGCTCAAAGTGATGTTCTGCAATGATCAAATACAGAACAGTGTACAAGTTCCTGACAGTTTTGACCTGTAGATCAACCATATTCTGTCAAATTTGTCAAAGGTAAGGGGCTGAAAAGATATTGCTTTATTATCTGGTATAATCAGGACTCGTTTCAGAATTTTAGACCTTTTAACTCTTGTTTGTACCTCGTGAGTCAGGTTTTTTTCATGGGTACAGTTTTCTGTACTGTAGCTGCTTGTCTTTGGATGCTTCACTAACTCCGAGGTGAATTGCCATGATTTGTATTTGTGAGAAAGCACACATTGCATCCTTGTAGTGTCACTATTCACTCAGTAATGACCCTTGAAGGCACTTACTCCAGAAGTGCTCAGTGAAGAGAGGAGATATATGAGTCTCTCTCCAAAACACTCTCCGTCTTAGATCTCAGGCTTTGCCGTCACTCTCTTCCCCCCTTTCTCTCTCTCTCTCTCTGCACCATGCCCCCTTTCCTTCCCTCTCTTTCTCTCTTTATCTATCACTCTCTCTCTTCCTGCACTCCTCTGTTTATAGCCAGTGACTCCATTGAGCGGAGGCTAATGGAGGCCCAATCCAGGACCCTGCTGATAAATAATGTAGCTTCTTTATAATGCCCCATCCCCAGGGAGGGTCCAGAGAGCATCATTACTGCCTCCTCATCCTACACAGCCCAGGCCTAAATTGATTAACAGACACTGGAGCAGTGCAAAATGATCCATGGGACTAGTGTAGTGGCTAACAGCTCGCACCAGGTGGGTCAAAGCCTCCGCCTGTCAGTGTCGCATGATCCCACTCGGTGCTCCCATTAGCCCCAGCCTCTGCCTGATGGGCGAACTGATGGCCATAACAAGCTACAACTAACACAATAGAGACCGTAGCTCCGACTCAGCTTCAGGGAATGTCAGTGGGTTTTATGGAGCCCTTGTGTAAATGATGGCGTTCAGGCATTTGTGTGACTGACCGGGTTAAACACGGGTGATTAGAGACGACAATGTATTACAAACCGATATTCAATAAAAAAGAAAAATGCATGTTGATTGTATCAACAACATCTTATAATTAGGAAAAGGAATTTGTAAGAAATCTACAGAAAATCAAACAATAATTTAGATAATTGAATTTGAGCAGAAACGAGTGATTGATCAGACAATTAGAAACTATTATGATGGATAAATAGATATAATCTTGTAATGTCTGACGCTGGGATTTGTTCTAAGATTTATATATCATTATATCTTAATACTCTTGGTGGGGATAAACATTTTCAGTTTCAGCTCCTCACTAGTGTTAGTGTAGTTGTTGATTTTCTTTGCCTGATATGACTCATTAAAACGTGAATATTGTTGGCTTTTTGTAAAGCACTTTGTAACAAGTAAAGTGCTATATAAATCAAGTTTATTTTTATATTATTATAAAATAAGGCATTTGAAAAGACCAACAAAACTATCAGTTTGTCACCTTGGGCTCTGGGAAGTTGTTAGGGGATTTTTCCTGGTTACTCATTTATCCCCAAAACATTATTTCTAAATGAATGTACTGTGAAAATAATCATGAAGAGAGATTTTAAGAGGAGTCACTAACCAAATCTGCCATTTTAGAGGGATTCATTTCTGCAAATCAAAGCTTTGTTGATGGGTTTAAGGACAAGGAAAATCATGTGCCAGAAAATACCTTCAGCCATAAATAATAGCACAAAAAATATGGCAACAGGAATGGATCAGGTGCACTTGAAAGTCAGTTCACAGAAATAACTTTAGATTCAGTAAATTTCTTCCTTGAAGAATGTGGTGAATGGATTGTTTTCTTATCTTTGCTATAAAGAGAAATCAGCAAACATTAACTCAATACCACACTAAATCAGAAGTGAGATAAATTTGCATTTTAACTATAATTATGAGAGAAACCAAATAAGTGTGAGAATCAAGAAGAATGTTCAATTATGAGCTTTTTTGCAGGAACTTTGTTTGATTAAATCTATTCAGCATAAGTTTTGACTGACAAGTGTCAAAACAGCCTCCATGGGAATCGTTTAGAAAGCTGGTACCCAAATCATGTTCATGTCTGGCAAACATCCCAGTCTATACATAGGTATAGGAACAGGGAGGTAAAATGGCCCCTTTATATTTTGACTGTCCAACTCTAAACTAGCATTGTCCAAAGACGCGGAACAAAACCATATCAGACCCTTTAAATAAGCATGTGGTCAGGACACCAGTCAGATAGTTGTGACTGTCAATATCCAAGTAGTATGGTCTCCAGCTGCAGCCGAACGACAGAAGAGTATTGTGAACAGAACTTTCTGGAGTGTTACATCTGACACGGATTAAAGCGTCTTTGTGCAGCCAGGCCTGAACTTGTGCTGATATAGCTGACTGTCACTGAGAGGCCATCAAAGCTGCTCTGTGGCTGAGAGTGGATCAAAACGACTCCCTCAGTGTGTGGGTGGTGACCCTGGTATAAACGTGGTGTTTTATTGTGATGCTCCACATTCAGCTCTGAAGTACATGTTTTGCTTTGTGTGAAGATGTGTTGAATCAGTTTTCCACTGTGTGGAAATGTTGTCATTGCGTAATAAAGTCCTGACAACACCAGTGGAACTGTTTACACTGGACATTTTACATACACGCAAAGATGTGTTTGACTTGAATGTTGGCAGTTTAACTCGAAGGGTTTATTTGTAGGTGTGTGTGTGTTTGCGTGGATTAGAAGTGTTACCTCCAAATCCTTCAACAAACATAGTTTGCAGTTTAAATCGTTAGTTGATAATTTTATCAGGTTCACTGATAAGGAGCTTCTGCTTTTGACACCAAATCCTCCACCATGTCGCTGATCAGATGTGACTCTGCTGCTGCACAAAGCCGGCACTCTCAGTTTGAAAATTGAACTATTTGGGTTTTATTAAAAATATCAACTAAACGGCTGGTGGACACATCCAATCAGAACAACATGTGGAGTAGGTGACACTGAAAACTTCAGTTTGCATTATTGACAAGCTATTACCAAGTTAAACAGACAAACCATGACAAAATGATAAAAGCTGACTTTGCATTTGCTATGATGTCGTGAGAGATGGTGATGAAGATGAGTCATAAGTGTTGCCTTTATAACATCCCAAATAAAGGAAGAGTTTGAAAAAAAGTTTCAAGCAACATCACAGACATTCAGCCACTTCAGTGACTGAACATTTCTGACCCATTCTCTTCTGCTTTAACTTTTTCACAAAAAGGAAATGTAAGAGAAAGGTCTGATAATGGAACTTTCTGTCTCACCCCACACCTGTTGAAAAACTGCTGCGTTCAGCAAGAGGAAGATGACAGACATGATGACGTTACTACAAAGCCTGTTTCCAGTCAGTGTGGTTGGGCAGTTGTAAGTGTCCACACGCTCTTTGTAAACAGCACCTGTGCTCATCAAACTCCCCTGTTTGTCAGTATGATGCGCTCTACAAATACAGTCGCTGACAAAGATAGAAATTGTCATTCATCCCATAATCTGAAAGGGCCAAGAATAACTGCAGAGCAGTCTTAATGATGTATTTGTTCCTGCTCATTGGAAATCCAATATACTGCAGGCTTTACTGTCAGAGAGTGATGCATCCTCTCCCGTGAGTCATTACGGATAAAAGGTGGTGGATCTCTGACAAGCTGTTTATTTGATTCTGGGACTACATCTGGACATTTATGTGCAGCCAAACCACAACCATAACTTTGTTTTGTCCCCCTAATTGAATTAAGGAAAAAAACATGAAAAGATGGTGGAACTGGAAGAGCTCCTTTTTAAAAGCTAGACTGCTTGCACCTCCTGGCTACTGAATTGCTCCTGTGGGACCATAGTGAATGGGCACATTTATCCTGGGCTCCACGTGCACATCCTTTTTATTGTCCCACACTTTGCCAGATTCCTGCTCATTGTGTTTGTTGGTGGGTGATGTTAAAGCTTCAGAGGACATTTGCCTCAGCAGGGTGCTCTTCTTATCTCATGTAAGCTTTGACTTACCAAGTCAAACTTGCAATGTATTTCCTTCATGATTGTATATCCAGTTTTATATCACAGCATTAATGTGTATCTATTAAAAAATTAAAAGAATTTAGTTTTTCATATTTGATTTTCATTTTTAAGCAGAAATATCAAAGATTTGTATCTCAAATATAATATTTGGATGGATTGTTTGTTGTCTTAATAAGCAGTTTTTTTAAAAATTATGGCTGACATCTTTCAATTCAGATTTTATTTGCATAGGGCCACATCATAGTATACATTATCTCAAGGCACTTTTTTAGCTGCTGGTTGATTTGAGCTTCCATGTATTTATCTTAACTCTCCAGAGAGTGAATCAGGCGTTAAACCTGCAGGTCTAATTCCCATAAGTTGTGTAGGCTGCAGACTGGATGTGAAACCTCTTTGCTGTAAATGACTTATTGAGTGGTGGTAATGTGACAAGCCATACGGACAGGAAGCTATCTGCAGAATGTCTGGTCGGGACTGATGTTCACAGGAGGGTGTCTGTTGTGACTCCTCTGCCATTTTCCCAGAAGCCAATGACTGACGTGGCTGTAACAGCTATAACCGACATCATCGCCTCAGAGGTTTTTCCGGTGAGACATCAGAGCCAGTGAGGTAAAAGGAGAAGGGGTCAGTGTTCGCCACAGCTGCAGGAACTTTGTGAGAGAAAGGATGCAGCCAGTTGACTTGGTCTGCAGAGTTTTGACGGACATGTTTGCTCAAAGATGCTAACGTACCTCTCCTTTTTTCTTCTAGAAAGTGGCTGTGAAGAGGATCTGATCTCCGCCTTGGAAGTTGAGGATTATCTTAAACTGCACGAAAACAAAAGACTAAATTAAAGAAATTGTCATCTCTTGTCTTCTGAGACTGGACTGTCCCCCTTCACTGTTCACACCCCCTTTTGGACTGAAGGGAGGGAGGAGGAGGGTGGCTTGTCCATCATGAATGTCACCTCGCTCTTCTCCTTCACTGGCCCAGCCGTCAAACAGCTGCTGGGTTGGAAGCAGGGAGACGAGGAAGAGAAATGGGCAGAAAAGGCGGTGGAAGCTTTGGTTAAGAAACTGAAAAAGAAGAAGGGAGCCATGGAGGAGCTGGAGAGGGCTCTCAGCTGCCCCGGTCAGCCCAGTAACTGTGTGACAATCCCCCGTTCCCTGGACGGACGGCTGCAGGTGTCCCACAGGAAAGGTCTGCCGCATGTCATCTACTGTCGGGTGTGGCGCTGGCCCGACTTACAGTCCCACCATGAGCTGAAGGCCCTGGAGTGCTGCGAGTACCCCTTTGGCTCCAAACAGAAAGATGTGTGCATCAACCCATACCACTACAAACGAGTGGACAGTCCAGGTGAGTTAAACATTACTGAAAAAAGAAGGGTTTGAACCCTTATCGTGCTGATGATGAGATTAAGCGAATCAGCCATTACAGATCTGATACACCTTAAATACAGATTCTATGACCATGTTAGTATGATTACACATGACCTCATGTTACCCTACATTAAAAACTAACTAAGATATTCTTTTATTTATAATTTTTTTATTCTATTTTGAATTAGGTGAAAAAGAGAATATTGAATCACAAATATGTACCATATGATTAAGGTTTCAGATTCAGTATCAGGAGAGTTGCAGCAGTTGAAGGATCATTTTATTCGTGGAAACTCAAACCAAATCAAATTAAACTGAATTAAAAGACTTGACATATTTCCATGAAAAATGAGGGAACAAATGAAAGGCAACGCACAAAAGTCCAATATCAATTCTAATCAAACAAATACCAGAGAGAAATCAATGAGAAAGAAACCCTCTAAGAAAGGGCCTTAGTTCTTTGGACAGGTTTGGACAGACTTGAATGTAAAGATGGTGGATCAAACTGTATTTGGAAGAAAGTGAGGATGAGCTGACGAGATACAAACTGCTGTGTGCAGGGTGATGTGAAGTGTGTAAAGGAACGTGTGTGTGTGTGTGTGTGTGTGTGTGTGTG